AGTGTCAAAGACCAACGTGAATCTAGGTGTCTCTAATAACAAAGCACAATTTTTATAGTTGCAGAATTTAAATCACCCTAGAGACTTGCCTAAACGCATAACGGTGACATCCTAAAAGCATGGTATCTATATTGATTAGGAGCGCAGTAAAACAGTGAACAGTTTTTAAAGCGGACAACTTGAGATCGTATAGGCATACCTTCTAGCAGTATTGATTTAAGGCAGTGTTTGGAAACTTATTTAAAGAAACAGACAGTTAATTAAACCAATTCAAACATTAATTAAACTAATTTGTTTAACTAAACTGATTTTAGGCATGATTTCTATTAGAGCTGATTTTAATCCCTATAGGCATGGTATCTAGTTATTAAAACTGTCTCTTGAACTTATAAGCATGATATCTAAGAAGACGAATGTGAATACATGTTGTAACAAAAATTGAACTTCAATTACTCTATATCTATAGGCATGATATCTAATTATAAGGCCATTTAGATCTTATAGGCATGGTCTCTAATATTGTGGAAGTAAAGAAAACATAGCAAGTACATTTGAATTAACACAACCTTATAGGCATGGTATCTACCCGATTTACCCAATATATATATATAACTACCCACCCCTTTTAACTAATCACCCCAATATTGTTTACAATAATTATTATAGACCAATGAATTAAAATGCATAAATGAACAGAAGTTAATCTATAGGGAGCCTGCAGTAGGCCCAAATGACTTCCCAGCCTCCAATAGCCTCAAATGCCAAAGTCCCATAGATTATTCATGTTTATATGTGTCAGAGTTCCCTAAGGACCTCAAGGATCCCGGGCACTGCTCACACCTACACCTTTTCTCAAACAATAATTGATTTAGGTGCAGTGTGGAAAGGCCAGCTCTGACATGCCAGAGTTTAGAGAGACCTCAAAGAGTCTCAAGACAGTACAAATATCAGATGGGCAGAACCTAGTATTCTAAGAGTGATGTGAGAGTGCATAATGACTTTGAAAGAGTTTGGTAAATAGAGAAAGAAGGTCTTAGTAATAGAAAGAATTTTATGAAAATCAGAACATAGTTAGAGTAGGAATAGTTTGAGAAAACATGAAGAACATTTTTAAAACAAATAGAAAGCAAGTCAGAGAACATACAGTTTCAGAACAGACCTCACACAAGGCAAAGAGTTAGGGGGAACACCTAGAATGCACCTTAGTGATGGCAATTAAATACACAGACTGTAGTTGCAAAGTTAAGTTCAGAACACATAGGTTTAAGACACAAATAAGATCTCATTGGTGAAATAGAACAAACTGGACTATACAAACACTTCATGTAACATTTAAGGTTTTAGAAATACTAATCATATACAGAACAGGCAGAATTTGGTCATGCCGAGTGAAATCATATGCACACAATGCAGCTTGGGACATGCTAGTGAATCAATTATTTAAAGCAAGATTGGCATGCCAAATAGTATAATAGCTATGAGCTTAAGCATGCTTTATGATACAGTAATCTAGGCATACTGATTGCATATTAAGTAGAATAGCACATAGAACTAGAAATCACAAATTGATGAACTACAGCAACAAAGGAAACACATAGTTTGGAATGTGAATTGAATCAGAACATAACAGTTAAGGAGAGTATACAGAATACAGGGTAGAGATGATGCCAGTAGCCAGCCTTGGCTTACAGCCGGCTGGACTAATAAGAATTGCAAAGAACAGGAGAGAGTAGAGAGCTTTTGAGAGTATAATACTGTAGATGAACTAGGTTTTTGTTGTCTTGAAATTAAAATAAGAGGGGTCTATATAGTAATCAAAAGCTTAACAAATAAGGTAAGAGATCAATTAAGTAGCAAATTAGGGAAGTCACATGTAAATCAGCAGGTCCTTCCCTTAATCAAGACCATTAAATCAATGGCAAAAGCAGGCTAAGTATAAAAGGAAAAAAATCGAGTAAGATTTGGGTATAGAGTAGGTAATTAGGAGTAAATGAACAGAAGTTTTAATTAAGGAAACAAATCAGTAAGAATCGGCAAAATACAAACAAGGCAAGGAAAAAATAATTAAGGTAAACAATTCAATCAAATCGAGTAGAGAGGTAAGAATCGAAAGTTTAAGGGAAAGTGTTCAAATCAAACCAAGAAACACGGAATTCAGAATAATCAAAGAGAAGGTCATGAAAGAGTCAGCATATTTAGAACATAAAATAAAGTAGAACATGAATAGTCAGAATTCCCCATAACTTTAACAAAACAAATAGTTAGAACGATATTGATTCAAGGAGAATGTTACAGGTCTTAACATGAATAGTCAGGACGAACACAAGCATATAGAATCAGTGAAAGGTCAAACTAAGAAATTCAGTAGAAGCATATTACGGCAAGAGAGTCACGAGAAATCACAAGAACCCAAAGTAAGAATCAGTCGATATACTAGTGTACTCAGAAACCAAACGAAGAACATTAAAAAGAATTAGGGCTTTTAGTACAAACGGGCTAAGGTTGTAGCAGACTTACAAAATCAGTCAAAATATATGAGAAGCAAAAGATTAAGCACAAAAAGTCATCAAACAATTTGTAAAAAGAAATTCCGGAAACCCTAGTTTAGGAAAAAATGAAAATCGCTTGAAAATCATACGATTCTTGTAAAGAATCTTAAGGTTATTGTAAAACTCACATGAAACAAACCCAAATCATCTTAGATCTGTACAGATCTAAGAGGTTTAGAAAGGAAATTATGGTTTCGAAGAGAACCATACAAATGTGAAGAAACATGCTTAGAAAACCATAGATCGTAGTCAATATAGGACGATCTTACTCGGAATCACATTAGAATAGCCTGAAACAGGCGAGAGAGAAACCATAGATGCAAGCCAACTAGCCCTGGTCCCTTGAGGGCCCTGGAGATGGCAATATTAATATGAGGGAGGCCATTGGAGGCCTGAGAGGTAGTGAGAAATCATCGGAGATGGCCATGGACGAGGGTTGAGATTATTAGGGTTAGGTTTTGAGAGCATTTGAGAGCAGGGAGTGGTTGCAGGGCGGCGGGTAGTATGAAATGATAGGGTTTGGGGGGTCTTTGGGTTAATTTTAGGAATGGTCGTTTGTGGCCATTGATCTTTATGATCAACGACCGAGATTGAAAGGTTTTGGGGGCCGGATCGGGTAGCTGGGGGTTGGGCTACGTAATTTAATTGAAATTGGGCTGGTAATTGGGTCAGGTTGGGGCTGAAATTGAAAAAAAAAATAGGCTAGATTTTAAATAGCCACTTTTAATAGTTATATAGTTTATAAAAAATAATAAATGATTTACAAAAATATTTTCGTGTACTAAAATGATTTAAAATAGTTATTTAACATTTTAAAAATAAAAAAGATAATTTTATGCATTAATAATGTAATTATGCATCAGTAGGGCTATTATTTCAAAGATATACAATTTTAGCCTAAAAATGTAAATGCAATTATAAAAAATACACTAAAATATTTAAATAATATTTTGGCATAAAAAAAGNGTAGTCGCGGTGCTTTTGTGGGCTCGACATGTTTATCGAAGCCATTTTTACGAATGAGCCCTTGGGAGCTCTGTCCTCGATCATTCCTTTGATCATTTTGAGTGGGGTTATGTCTGAGCCACTATTTCTCCGATGTGTGTTGTATGGTTGGTACCGATCTTTGTTCGATCGAGGTTCTCTGTCGATGTCCCTTTGAATTCTTCCGATAGGCCTATTCGGGTAACAGAACCGGAAGAGGTTCCCAATTGATCATCCTCGACCCTGATCTTTATGGTATCGATAATGTACATCGTCCCAGGTTACAACTGGATATTCAATTAATTTCTACTTTAGTTGTCGTGATGCTGTCGAACTTTGCTCGTTCAAACTTTGAGTTAAGGCTTGAACAACCCAATCGTCTGTGACCGGAGGTAGGTCCATGCGTTCCATCTGGAACCGAGATACGAATTCCCTTAACATTTCATTGTCCTTTTGTCTCACTTTGAAGAGGTCTTACTTCCTAGTCGCAATCTTTATTGCTCCGGTGTTTGCCTTTACGAACGAGTATGCAAGCATGGGGAAGGAATCGATGGAATTGGGCGGCAAATTATGGTACCATATCATTGCCCCTTTTGATAAAGTCTCTCCAAACGTTTTCAATAGAACAAATTCAATCTCATTGTCTTCTAAGTCATTCCCCTTTATTGTGCACGTATAAGAAATAACATGCTCATTAGGGTCGGTGTTCCCATTGTATTTGGGAATTTATGGCATATAGAATTTCTTCGGGATGGGCTTCGGAGCTGCACTTGGAGGGAAAGGCTTCTGCACAAACTTCTTCAAATCCAAATCCTTTAGAATTGGGAGTGCCCCGGTATTTGTTCAACCCGTGAGTTGTACGGTTCTACCATTTTTTCATTAGCTTCAATTTTCTTTTCACCTGATTCGACCCGTTTAATGAGCTCCTCGAGCATCTTCATAATGGCGGTGTCAGTCCCCGATTCATTTGCATTCGATTTCTCCAGTACAGGTTCGATTCTATGAACAACTTCTTGTGATGTTTCGACCTCAATTCTGCTTGGTGCATGATTCTGCTTTTGGAGTTGCGCTATCGTAGCTTGTTGAGTCTGCAACATTTCGAATATCATTCGAAGGCTAATTTCGCCTTCTTCACCGCTCTGTGCATTCTGATCGGCTGCTCGGGCATCTCTGCTGATGCCATTTTCATGGTCGATGCCCAAATTCCCATTAATGGCAATATGAGAGCTGGCATCGACTAGGTCTATGGCCGGTGGTCCATCAGGGTTGACTGGAGGTACTCTGTTTCCTGGGGTGACTATGTTTTCGTTCTCGCCATGAAGACCAAGGGTTAACATGGATGATTGTATTTAAAATTAAGTACCTTAAATTAATGTAAACTACATGAAGATCCCATGACTTTCAATGTCAACATTCACAATTAAAAGAAAAAAAGAGAAATCTTTGTATAAGTTTCTGCCTTGGTACTTACCTTAAGAAATGTAATGATGAAGGTCCATAAGGTCCCTCTGTTGAGATTTGAAGATGATCCGGAGAAGAAGAAAGTTGTTTTTCTAATTTTTGGCTCCAACTTCCCATGCATTTAATGACAACACTTAGTTTATCTGCCTCCAAATTACTGTTAGAAACTACAGTAAATGGATGCCACTGCAACTTGTATACGCTTGGGACGTTCACAAACAAGATGCTTGTAGGGTTGTACGTCAATGCTGTAAAGTAAAAATAAGTACTACGTACATTCATTAATATAACTAGCATACTAGCTTCTTTAACATCTTGAAGAGATTATATTCACCTGGATTCTTGGAAAAGGTGAGTTCAATAGTGCTACAAGGTGAAAGACGTGCAGAAATTAATCGAGCCCTTCGTTTAAACTGTAAGAATCTCAAGTATCGATCGATCACAAATAGAAAAATTCCAGGGAGGATCATGCATGTGTAGGCAACACCAACATGAAATAGGTAGAAGAAGATGTAGAGAATATAGAGCTGATGTGCGTAGAAGAATACTTCAAACATCTTTCTCCTGATCTTGTACAAACTAGTACACCACATTGCTATTGCAACTAAGGCAGCAATTTCTCCAGCCATGTTGGATACGTAGGTACTGCTCTAATCTAACATCTGCAAAAAAAAATTATAAGCATGATATCTAAGAAGACGAATGTGAATACATGTTGTAACAAAAATTGAACTTCAATTACTCTATATCTATAGGCATGATATCTAATTATAAGGCCATTTAGATCTTATAGGCATGGTCTCTAATATTGTGGAAGTAAAGAAAACATAGCAAGTACATTTGAATTAACACAACCTTATAGGCATGGTATCTACCCGATTTACCCAATATATATATATATAACTACCCACCCCTTTTGACTAATCACCCCAATATTGTTTACAATAATTATTACAGACCAATGAATTAAAATGCATAAATGAACAAAAGTTAATCTATAGGGAGCCTGCAGTAGGCCCAAATGACTTCCCAGCCTCCAATAGCCTCAAATGCCAAAGTCCCATAGACTATTCATGTTGGACCTCAAGGATCCCGGGCACTGCTCACACCTACACCTTTTCTCAAACAATAATTGATTTAGGTGCAGTGTGGAAAGGCCAGCTCTGACATGCCAGAGTTTAGAGAGACCTCAAAGAGTCTCAAGACAGTACAAATATCAGATGGGCAGAACCTAGTATTCTAAGAGTGATGTGAGAGTGCATAATGACTTTGAAAGAGTTTGGTAAACAGAGGAAGAAAGTCTTAGTAATAGAAAGAATTTTATGAAAATCAGAACATAGTTAGAGTAGGAATAGTTTGAGAAAACATGAAGAACATTTTTAAAACAAACAGAAAGCAAGTCAGAGAACATACAGTTTCAGAACAGACCTCACACAAGGCAAAGAGTTAGGGGGAATACCTAGAATGCACCTTAGTGATGACAATCAAATACACAGATTGTAGTTGCAAAGTTAAGTTCAGAACACATAGGTTTAAGACACAATAAGATCTCATTGGTGAAATAGAACAAACTGGACTAGACAAACACTTCATGTAACATTCAAGGTTTTAGAAATACTAATCATATACAGAACAGGCAGAATTTGGTCATGCCGAGTGAAATCATATGCACACAATGCAGCTTGGGACATGCTAGTGAATCAATTATTTAAAGCAAGATTGGCATGCCAAATAGTATAATAGCTATGAGATAAAGCATGCTTTGTGATACAGTAATCTAGGCATACTGATTGCATATTAAGTAGAATAGCACATAGAACTGGAAATCACAAATTGATGAACTACATCAACAAAGGAAACACATAGTTTGGAATATGAATTGAATCAGAACATAATAGTTAAGGAGAGTATACAAAATACAGGGTAGAGATGATGCCAGTAGCCAGCCTTGGCTTACAGCCGGCTGGACAAATAAGAATTGCAAAGAACAGGAGAGAGTAGAGAGCTTTTGAGAGTATAATACTGTAGATGAACTAGGTTTTTGTTGTATTGAAATTAAAATAAGAGGGGTCTATATAGTAATCAAAAGCTTAACAAATAAGGTAAGAGATCAATTAAGTAGCAAATCAGGGAAGTCACATGTAAATCAGCAGGTCCTTCCCTTAATCAAGGGACCATTAAATCAACGGCAAAAGCAGGCTAAGTATTAAAGGAAAAAAATCGAGTAAGATTTGTGTATAGAGTAGGTAATTAGGAGTAAATGAACAGAAGTTTTAATTAAGGAAACAAATCAGTAAGAATCGGCAAAATACAAACAAGGCAAGGAAAAAATAATTAAGGTAAACAATTCAATCAAATCGAGTAGAGAGGTAAGAATCGAAAGTTTAAGGGAAAATGTTCAAATCAAACGAAGAAACAAGGAATTCAGAATAATCAAAGAGAAAGTCATGAAAGAGTCAGCATATTTAGCATATAAAATAAAGTAGAACATGAATAGTCAGAATTCCCCATAACTTTAACAAAACAAATAGTTAGAACGATATTGATTCAAGGAGAATGTTACAGGTCTTAACATGAATAGTCAGGACAAACACAAGCATATAGAATCAGTGAAAGATCAAACTAAGAAATTCAGTAGAAGCATATTAGGGCAAGAAAGTCACGAGAAATCACAAGAACCCAAAGTAAGAATCAGTCGATATACTAGTGTACTCAAAAACCAAACGAAGAACATTAAAAAAGAATTAGGGCTTTTAGTACAAACGGGATAAGGTTGTAGCAGACTTACAAAATCAATCAAAATATATGAGAAGCAAAAGATTAAGCACAAAAAGTCATCAAACAATTTGTAAAAAGAAATTCTGGAAACCCTAGTTTAGGAAAAAATTAAAATCGCTTGAAAATCATACGATTCTTGTAAAGAATCTTAAGGTTATTGTAAAACTCACATGAAACAAACCCAAATCATCTTAGATCTGTACAGATCTAAGTGGTTTAGAAAGGAAATTATGGTTTCGAAGAGAACCATACAAATGTGAAGAAACATGCTTAGAAAACCATAGATCGTAGTCAATATAGGACGATCTTACTCGAAATCATATTGGAATAGCCTGAAACAGGCGAGAGAGAAACCATAGATGCAAGCCAACTAGCCCTGGTCCCTTGAGGGCCCTGGAGATGGCAATATTAACATGAGGGAGGCCATTGGAGGCCTGAGAGGTAGTGAGAAATCATCGGAGATGGCCATGGACGAGGGTTGAGATTATTAGGGTTAGGTTTTGAGAGCTTTTGAGAGCAAAGAGTGGTTTCAGGGCGGCGGGTAGTATGAAATGATAGGGTTTGGGGGGTCTTTGGGTTATTTTAGGAATGGTCGTTTGTGGCCATTGATCTTTATGATCAACGGCCAAGATTGAAAGGTTTTGGGGGCCGGATCGGGTAGCTGGGGTTTGGGCTAGGTAATTTAATTGAAATTGGGCTGGTAATTGGGTTAGGTTGGGGCTGAAATTGAAAATAAAAATAGGCTAGATTTTAAATAGCCACTTTTAATAGTTATATAGTTTATAAAAAAATAATAAATGATTTACAAAAATATTTTCGTTTACTAAAATGATTTAAAATAGTTATTTAATATTTTAAAAATATAAAAGATCATTTTATGCATTAATAATGTAATTATGCATCAGTAGGGCTATTATTGCAAAGATATACAATTTTAGCCTAAAAATGTAAATGCAATTATAAAAAATACACTAAAATATTTAAATAATATTTTAGCATAAAAAAAGAATTTAGATGACTAAATCACCACAAAAATAATTTGAAGGATAATTACTGGAAATTTTTTAAATAAAAAAGGGAAGAAATAAATCAATTTGGAGCTTTTTTTTAAAAAACAATTATAGAAAAATTATAAAAATGCTTATGCATGCTTATAACTGCATATGTGCTATTTTGAAA